CATAGGTCTAGAGTTAACAGGGGTGTGCATTACTAGTCTAGTTCTTTTTTTTTAGAATTTTTTAAAAGAGTTTCTACTATTCTTTTTTATTTATAATAGTGTAGTGTACTATAGTAATCTTTTTTATTATTCTGTAAGTCTTAGCATTATTATTAATATATACCTTATATATTATTTTTCTGCAGTACTTTATGTTATAAGTATTACTGCATTTCTAGCAGTTACTGTAACTAAATTAGTAGTTTAACTCTTATGCTAAGATTTCTGTTATTAGCTGTTTTAAGAGAAACTGCTTTTTCCCTTTTTTAATATTTGCAACATATGTAGCTGCTTAAGTCTAGCCTTACTATTCTTTATAAGTAGCTGCTTGTTCTAGTGCCCTAAAGATATTATTATTATCTTAGACTTTAACTTCTTAGTAGTTTATAAAGCATTTTTTAAATTTATAATTATCTTTGCATTTCTAGTAGAGTTATTTATCTAGTCTGCCTAGGATCTTAGCTGCTAACAGACCTTGTTCTATATACATTGCTTTTATGGACAGCCCTCTATTTTTATTCTCTAGGTTCTTAGAGTCTAGGCACTTATAATAGTAGTGTCCTACTTTTTTATAGTTAAGGCACGCTTTTTTTTAAGCTACTTTTATTATTTATTAGATAGTAGTAGCTTTTTACTTTAATAAAACTTACTTTTTTTCTTAGGTAAGCCTTATGTATGTCTAGTGTAACTAAGGTCTATAAGTTTACTATTAAACGAGGGGTTCTTTTTTTTTTAGAAACATGTTAAGTTTCTAAAGTGTTATGCCTAGTTATTTTTCCTTAAGATGTTTTTAGTATTATTTATTATATATTATTACTTTTTTAATATATACTTTAAAGGTGTCGAGTTTTTTATTATGCATAAATTTATCTTTTACTAGATTAAACAGTTTATTATAAAACATTCTTCTAATAGCTAGCTAGTTCGTCTATCTGCTAATAGCTAGTTGTTTGCAAAAGTAGGTTGTGTAAAGTTAGACTAAGCCTTTTCTCTTTAATTAGCTATTTTATAAATAGCAGTTAGTGCTTATTTAAAAGCTTTAAAGTTCTAAAAAATTCATTAGGTTTTTAAAAAAAGCGCATCTTTAGTTATCTTATATTTTATCTAATTGTCTGCGTGTGGCTAGAACTATATTACTAGGGATCCTTCTAGGTGTAGTTTTATTTATAAGATTATTTTTTTATCTATTTTAAAAGCATCTTTATTATATTACATGTAAAGGTGGCACTTAGTAAAGAATAGTTTAAGATTCTTAGCTATTTTATTAAAAAGTTTAAGTAAAGCTAAGTATAATAATTTCTTTAATTTAATGCTAGTTTTTTTTATAGTAGTGTTTCTAAGTTTAGCTATTTTTATATAAAGTGTATAGAGTTACTAGACTAGGGGTTATCAAGTATAGTGTTAAAGTTAAGCTCTAAGCGTCTTAAGCTCCTATTAAAGATACTGTATTTACTAATTCTGTTCTTCCTTGTTTTAGAACAGGACCTTGCTAGTGCCCACAGCACTAGCTCCTGTTATACTAGTATTAAAGGATAAGGTGTAAGAAGCTATACTTTATAAATAGTAGTAATTAATGTTATAATCTTTACTTTAAGAAAATAGTAGTTTTAGAGCATAACAGCCTAAAGTGTGTAATTAGCAGAGGGAGAGGACTTAGCTAAATTAGGTGTACAGTCTGTTTAGCAGAGTACGGGTATGTTAGTAGAAAAAGATAGGCAGGCTGTAGTTTGCACCTAGCGGCTGTATGGGTAGCTGGGCGTTACTGGTCCAAAGGTTGGACAGGAATTAGAGGTATATATAGTAAATATATAAGTTAGTAGAGTCCTTATTAAAAAGAAGCAATGCCTCTTAGATCTATTATAAAAAGAGGAGTAGTTTAATAATAAAACTAAATGTTAATTCTAACTCTTAAACTATAGTTAAGATTAAGACTATATACATGTAGTTTCCTACAGTGCGCGCAGTGCGCGCAGCCTTAGCTTCTGCAAGCATTGCAAGCATTGCGCGCATAGTCTAAGTCCTTATTAGACTATGCATTTCTTAATACACCTGTCTAAAAGCTAGAGCTATTTCTTATTTAGCTTGTTACATAATTTTTCTAATACAGGTTTAAGGATTGTCCATGCAGTGTTGTTCAGGCTGTGGGGAATCGCGGATTGGTTCATTACGTCTAGACTGTTGGTTGTAACACTAAACTACTTTTCTTAAATTAATGCATTTCTAGTAACACTACTTAAATATGCTAAAAGAATATTAGATATAAGTTACACTTTAAGCTTTTAAATAAAACAGAACACTCTTAAAATAACATACTATAGCTATGTATAACAGCTATTAAAAAATAATAAATAACTACTACACTAGATAACTTTTATCAGCTAATTTTATAGCTAACTTATAAAAGCTAGGTAATAATAAAAAGTAGGTAATTATTAAGCATATACTTAAGCTATATATATAAGCATTTTTCTTTTAGCTAGTAGCTATAGCTAATATAACTAATTCTTTATAAACTAAGTGTAATCTAAGTAATATTAGCATAAACTAGATTAGTATATTTATAAAGTTTTATCTAAAGCTTAAAGTCAAGTTTAAGTATAACTATAACTATAAAAAAACTTTTTATAAAAATTTTAAAAAAATTAAAAGCTAGTTTAGCCTTATAAAAAATATTAAAGCTAAGGATAGCATTTAAGATAATAACATGTATAACTTTAATAAAATAGACTTTATTATAGGCTAAATATTTACTAACTATACTTATACTTAAAACTTTACTTTAAGCTTTAGATAATGCTTTATAAATATACTAATCTAGTTTATGCTAATATTACTTAGATTACACTTAGTTTGTAATAAATTAGCTATATTAGCTATAGCTACTAGCTAAAAGAAAAATGCTTATATATAGAGCTTAAGTATATGCTTAATAATTACCTACTTTTTATTATTACCTAGCTTTTATAAGTTAGCTATAAAATTAGCTTATAAAAGTTATCTAGTGTGTTAGTTATTTATTCTTTTTTTAAAGACTTTACACATAGCTATAGTATGTTATTATAAAAGTGCTATATTTTATTTAAAAGCTTAAAGTGTAACCTATATCTAATTTTCTTTTAGCATGTTTAAGTAGTGTTATTAGAAATGCATTAGTGTAAGAAAAGTAGTTTAGTAGGGTCTTAGTAAAAGTAAGCAACTTAAGTGTGTAAGCAACTTGCCTATAATGTACGTTATGTAAATTAAGTTTTATTACTTAATTCTTTTTTAATTACACTTTATTAAACTTATTTTTTTACTATAGATCCTTTACACTGTAAAGTAGCTATTTTTTAAACTACTTATAAACTACTTAGTGCTATATAAGTCTTCTTTTATATCTTATTTCTATACATGGTTTTTTATTTCTTTAATGCTAGGATAAAGCTTGTAGAAGCTGTGTTTTTAGTGCTTACTATTTAATTTCTTATGTCATAGACTTTCTTTACAGAGGGTAGGGTCCATCTACTAGTACTAGTATCAGCATAGCCAGCCACTCTATGGCCCGTGAAATACGGACCGCGATACCCGATGGCCAAAAAACCCGGCCATATCAGCAGTTTCCGGACGTCAAGGGAGGATTGGCGGTGAAGCGGCCATTCCGTCGTAAGGTGTGTCTTGGTGTCGCGGATCGAGGCCAGCTAATTGCTTGTGGAGTCAATTGGATCCTTTCCATGTTCTTTGAATCCAATGAAACCCCATGCAGCACCCTTAGTATGGGTGGGACCTGTCTGGGGCTGGCCATTCTGGCTACCTTTTTTCTTCCTTCTGTACACGAAGTGCGAATCCACCTGGCTGCCGGCAACCAAGCGACATAGCCTGACATGCAGGCATCTCCTGATGGAAGGATGGACGTGCGGTGAGACCTTGATGTACCTTGATTTCGTTTCGCGCTCTCGTGGGTACGGCCGAAGCTGGGTCGAGCAACCTATTTATTCAAGTACGGATCCCGCTAGGTTGAGGACCAACAATAGCCTTCGCCGTCCAATATCTGTCAGGTGTACAAGTTCCACTCATCATCTCCCATCTCTAGATATGTCTACTTCTAGATATCTTACGAGAAATTATCTTGCGGGTAACAGATACTCTTTAGAACTGTGAGAGGCAGCGCTGATGCTCGAATAGATGCAAACTCTGAAAGATGGGAACGCGGCAGTCCCCAAGGTCCAAAAGAACTATCTGAAAACGGAACTTGCAACTCTAAATCCCGACAGGGTGGATCTCCGAAGAGGTTCTATTCCACCCCTCATGGTGTGTGGGATGGAGTGGTTGGTAACTGTCAAAACCCCACGGAAATACTGGAACGGCAGCAAACCCCAGGAATGCACCAGAGTGTGTCACGGAATGAGTGCAACGAGAACCACTCTTTTTGGGTTTCCGAGCTCACAGGTCTTTCCAGAGCGCCACAATTTAGCTTTGCGAGAACCCAGACTACAGGCCGGCCCCAGAACTCCGGACTTCATCGAGTCTCTGCACCTTTGGACACTTATTTACTTTCTAGCATTACCGCGGTTTGTGCCGAGCTGAACATCTCGTCTTTGGCTTTCTCCTTTACCGCCTTGGGAATTATGCTTTCTCGGGTTCTGGAGCTCGATGGGGAATTATGCATCGCATTGGTGATGCCAACCGGAACGGACAAAATCCAACCGGACCAGTCCAGTGCTTTGACGGCCTTTCTCCCTATAAGGATCGGCGTAAATAGAAGTGACACGATATCCGACACTCTCCATATTGTGAATCGCAAACTTAATGTTGCACTTGCCCATGGGGAGATTGACATGGAAGCCTTGCTTGACAATATTGGGTATTCCAATAGCCTAGGAGAGTTTGTGTCGGCCGAGTTCGCTTACGGAAAGTGTACCCATAGGGTGGAGCCTTCGAGTTCCTTCGTTGCGACCGAATACAGGGAGAACAGCCTGGATGGTTTTGACCTGAGTATACACGTCACTGAATCCGATGACAGTGGATGCGCACACGTCGACCTTCGAGCACCACAACGCGTTTTTACCAAATATGATGCAAAGATACTGTTGGATATCTACATTCACGTCGTGACTGAAATGCAGGGTTGCCTCTCGTCAAGACTGAAGGATTTGCCGTTATTCGACCCTGCGCAAGGATTGCATACAGTTCACTATGGAATGGGACCAAAAATGGAACACGACTGGCCAGCTACCTTGCTGCACAAGATCGACGAGATGGCAGACATCTTTCCGGAATGTACTGCCGTCAAAGACAGCCGAGGCAACCGGATGACATACTCTCAGCTACTCCAACGCGTTAGTGTCATCGCTACCTCATTGCTTAAAGACAACCTCACAAAGGGATCGCGAGTAGCGGTTTACTGCGATCCCAGCTTGGACTCCCTTTGTTCGCTGCTAGCCATCACACGAATCGGATGTATTTATCTCCCCCTAGATCTACGCAACCCATCCCAGCGACTTGCTTCAATCGTCGGGGACTGTGATCCCTCAGTCATCATATTTCACCAGTGGACCGCTTGGAGTGTGAATGAGCTGCATTCTGCCGCCAAGCTCCTGAACATTTCATCCCTCCCAACTGAAAGTATCGACAGGTCCCCCATAAAATGCACGCCATCCGATCCTGCATTCATACTATATACTAGCGGCTCTACCGGTCGTCCGAAAGGAGTTTTGATAAGTCATGGGAACTTCCTAGGCCAGATCACCGCAGTGCATAGGGAGTTTAGCCTTGACCGAGAAAGGGTGCTCCAGCAAAGCTCCCTAGGATTTGACACTTCGTTGCATCAAATATTCGTTGCGCTGACCACTGGTGGAGCTGTCATAATTGCCACGCGAGATATAAGGGGAGATCCACCGAGGCTCTCTGAGCTTATGCTTGCGGAGCGTGTTACATTTACTGTCGGCGTGCCTTCGGAATACTCTGTCCTGCTTCGGTATGGGAACCGGCAGCTGAGGCAATATTCTGACTGGAAATACGCCGTGTGTGGAGGCGAGCGCATGACCGTCTCGCTCAAGAAAGAATTCCGCGCGCTGGGGGAATCTGGTCCGATTCTGCTCAGTTGCTATGGGCCGACCGAGGTCTCCCTTGCGTCCTCTTTTGGCATTCTCTCGTACTCCGACCCACAGCTCGGCGCGGATGAGGAGGACAGCCCAGTTGGGTTCACATTGCCCAATTACAGTGTCTATATTTTGGACCACAATATGATGCCGGTTCCTCCAGGCTTTCCTGGAGAAATTTACATTGGGGGTGTTGGAGTTGCATGTGGCTATCTCCATAATGATAAACTATCTCGGGAGAGATTTCTTCCGGATCCCTTTGCTAGCCGGGAGTATTCCCAAAGAGGATGGAATCGCATGTACAGGACTGGAGATAAAGGTCGACTCCTGCCAGACGGCGCCTTGGCTTTTCTAGGGCGCATCGAGGGAGACTCCCAAGTGAAGCTCCGAGGCATTCGAATCGAACTAGAGGAAGTCTCCAAGATTATCCTTGAGACGTCGGAAGGAATTCTTCACCAAGCAGCTGTGATCGTCAAGGGATCGGAAAACCAGTACATGGTAGCATTTGTGACATTTTCCCCAGGTCGCCGGCCTACGGATACAAGTTCTTATGTCAAGAAACTTCTCGACATGCTCCCTATCCCGATCTATATGAGGCCGGCAGCGTTAGTTCCTCTGCAGACCCTGCCACTGAACGTCAATGGAAAGCTTGATAGACGAGCGTTGCATTCAATAAACATCGGGGAAGCTCAACCTACCAAGGCTGAGGTGGAAGGAACCGTTACAGAAATGCGTTTGAAAGGTTTGTGGGAGGAAGTCCTTGGCGAATGTCATTTGCGAGACGGCTTCCAAATCGCTCCTGATTCGGACTTCTTCCAAGTGGGGGGAAATTCCATTCTCCTCGCGAAGCTGCAGAGACTGATATACGATATTTTTGGAGTGACCATAGGATATCCGGATATGTTTCTAGCCAGCGTTCTTCGTGAGATGGCGGGCAGAATCGATAGCAACTACAAGACCGAAGTTTCTCCCTCAATCAACTGGAGCCGAGAGATTGATGAATATTTTGATCAGATTCAGAAGCCTATCGATCACAAACCGAGCCCTGGAAAGCAGGTTTTATTAACTGGCTCAACCGGATTCCTAGGAAGCCACCTCCTTCGCCAGCTCGTTCAGAGTCCCAGCGTGGTGAAAATCCACGCCGTCGCGATCCGGCGTCATCATCTCACGAACCAGCCTGACGAGTTAGTGCCAAGCATCGCGGGAACCTCGTCCATGAAGATCAAAATATGGCCAGGCGACCTACGACTTCCTTACCTCGGGCTCTCTCCTCGCGAGCTCGACTATCTTGCAGACACGGTTGACGTTGTCATCCATAATGGCGCCGATGTCTCGTTCCTAAAAGCGTATCGGACACTGCGTGGTCCCAACGTCCTTTCAACGGTCGAGCTCTGCCGCCTAGCGCTCAAGCGTCGCATCCCTTTCCACTTCATCTCCTCTGCAGGCGTCTTACGGCTTTCGCATGATCTGGACGCTGTTGGGGAGGTTTCCATGGAAGCCTATACCCCTCCAACCGACGGGTCCGACGGATATATCGCGTCGAAATGGGCGAGTGAGCAAGTTCTCGAGCGCTCGGCCAGCCAGCTCGGGCTGCGGGTTCACATCCATCGACCAACCACCATCCTGGGTGACAGTGCTCCAAAAACGGACCTCATCGCAAATCTGGTGCGTTTCTCAATGACCATGAGAGCGGTTCCCATATTTCCTAGTGCATGTGGATTCATTAACATGGTACTCGCGGACGATGTAGCAAGGGGCATCCTTCAGGAGGTGTTGAATTCGCATGATTATCAGACGCCCGATGGAACAAGTGAGGATGAAATCCGTGCCATGCAGGACGAATCCTTCTGGCCTGAGGTGGGTCGAGTTTGTTGGAAGCATCACGCTAGCCAAACACAAATACCGCTCACAAACCTGGGCGACTACTTGCAGGGCCAACAACATGATGCATTCCGAGAATTAAGTTTGGAGGATTGGGTGTCGGAAGCCGTGTCGCTCGGTCTGGATAAGAAGGTGGCGGCGGTGCTGAGTACGCCCGATGCACAGCAGGGGCATGGAATGACCGTTCCCCGACTCAGGTAGAAAGAATTTGTCAATTGCGGAGGGCAAAAATGCAGCAAATTTATTGTCAGCGAATGTGGAAACGAATCTGTGCAACATGTACAAGATTTCTCTCTTCGTTTAGTATTCGTGCAGCTTAAGCTGGCTGATTGGTCAAGATTGATATTCTCAGAAGGTTCTCACTTCAAAATCACACATCGTTGCAACAAGTGTTGGTGACATGATCAACCACAACATCACATCATATAGACACGAATTTTTGTGCAGAGAATCTCATCCAGGCATCTCATCTAGAGGGTAGAAACGCTACGCTCATCCGGGATAGCTAACGGAGTAAATTCTACAAACTCTAAACACCAGTAGAACGGCTAATCTGATAAGTACCTCAGTGCTGATGCATTTATGTAGTATTTGAGTTTACTAATTGATCCAAGTGGCATCGCTGATGAAGGAACAAAATGCCATGAAGCCAATTAGATCGGGGACGCCATCAGAATCACGTTGCCATTGAAGACGCGTGGTGGCTCCGTGAGAGCCTCCCGGGGGACTGAGACCGTTGATCGCAATCTCACTAGCTAGTATTGGAATAGTTCCCTAGGGCCGCCGTCTTGATCGGCATTAGCGAGGCGACCCCTACGTATTGGTTTGCCGAGGCTCAGCCATGATACCTGCTATCCAGAGAGTAATCGGTCAACTCAACACTATGTCTGACTGTAATCCCGCCCTCTAACCTCGCATCATCACTCATCCGTCGGGCGGTAGCCATATGCAATCTTTTTTGTGACCCCCCATCATCAAACTGCGTATATTCCAGATCATCTGGGTTCCTAGAACGTTTTGGCTTGAAAGATCCAATGGTGACAATCGTTGAATTCGCCGGCGGGAGCCCACTTCTTGCATATGAGCTTAATGAGAATCGCTTAGGCAGGACGTAGCTGAGAATAGGTCTCAGCATAGGAAGGCAGGTGCAGATGACGGCGACCAATGGCTCGATGGCGGTCCAGATAAGTGCGTCCAGATATACCCCTTACGATAACGGTCAGCTGGATCGTTGGAGGTGTGGGATTTCCAGAAACCTACACGTAAAATCTGGGTCGTTGACATGAATAATGGCTACTAGGAGTCGGACAATGGCAGTGACACAAGCGCTATTGAAGTCAACGAGAAAATCTGGAAAGGTGCCTTCCCGCACTCACAAAGCACCCAGGAGAAAGACTAAGCTAAGCGCGATCTTTTGCGGCTTCGTGAGTTGCAGTCTCCAGACCTGGTTGACCGGAAGCATCAGAATGAAGACGTCGAGAGTAATGTTGACGACGGCATAACCAATGTCGTACTTAAGGAGATTCATACACTTCTTTCCCGGGATGTCTTGAAACCAGTACGCTTGGACCGGTATGCAGGTGAAGATCCCTGAGATGGACATCGCCGTCCACCACATGATGCAAACAATGATACCTAATGTCACAACTCTCCGGAAAAAAGGAAGATCGAATATGCGTCGGTACATGAGAAGCATCGCGATCTTGTTGACAGGACCTGTCATGACATATATCTGGTTGTAAGAGTAGAGCGTCTTCCAGAACGGTACGTAGTGAAATGTGTCCTTGATGGCCTCTAGATGCTTACCGATGCCCAGTTTTGTGCCTGGACCGCGGGTCAGTGGGTGATTGAAGCAATGCTATCATGGTCGAGGAGAGGATCGTACAAATGGTCGAGCAAATGCAACACCCGATGGCCAGCACCTCTTTTGGTCAGTATCGAGCCCTCGCCAGGCATCGAACCTCAGATACTTACTAGTGCGAATACGGCCATCCAATCATCAATCTTCCAGGGCTGTGCTTTCATTTTTCTCGACGTGAAGCGTCCGAAGACTGCTAAAATAGCCACTCCTGCCACAGACCACACGCTTGCGAACAGCACTGGGCCTCGGTCTGCGTTAATGTCATAATTCTTTGCTGACATTTGGAGATATGATGAGAAGAAATTCACAGTCGAACGTCGGGGAGGGCAGGACAGATGAGGTTTGGTGGTGAGCTTTGACGAGAGAAAAAGCAAGGCTCAGGAAGGGAATAGTGTGGCATTTGAACAGAGGTAGTGTTTCAGGACGCAGCTCGCATGTAATCGGCAGGGCACCACGGGTTGAACTACATGTTGGACGCCTCTTTTGAACGCCATGAGGCACAGCATACACTTGGAAAACTCTAATGTGCGGATTAGGGAAGCTGATTCTAGTTTAATTTCCTACAAGACCCACAGGATGGTCCGTGGTCTTCGGCTCTGGTAGGATTATCCGAGAGAGTTGCGCTTAAACGCCTCCCTGTACGGTCGTATACGCAAGCGGCGGCGACCCGCTCCCCCGGACACTCCACGGGAATTCGTAATCAAGCCGTTGTAAATACAAGCAATTTCTGGGCCCGGCATCCAATAAGACGACAGCCGGACCCTCCCATTCAACAATCTTCGCGTCGCTTACATCCTTACGCTAGGCGTCCAACAGGGACAGATTGCGCAACACTATCATGCTCCTCCCGCGCCCACGATCCACTCCTCTAAGTGAGATGCATAGATATGCAGCACGCTAGCCCTTCAGCGTAAGAATGGAATGATTGGGATGATTCTACTTTAGAGCGATCTGATTTAATTGTCTCTACATCCTCACGTGTATAGGGTCTTGATTGTTCTTTGCTCGGACACAACCAAGTCATCCTCACTCACTGGGGAAAAGCCAGGCCTCCAGACAAATATCATGGGGATCAACAAACGCTCTCGGTTGCGTCCGGTATTCATTCTCTGTAGTTTAGGTGGAACACTACCTGAACCATATCAAAGTCGACGAGTACATCCGCTACCATGCCATAAAGCTAGATGGAGGTTCCGAAATGTACCTAGTGGACGTCTGGGGTTGTCTTTTTCGTCTCTTCGAACTCAGCGGGAGGCTCAACTTCCCGAGGTATGATGACAGTGTCCTCTAGGCCATAGTTCGTCTGCTTGACCCCAAACCAGCAGACCCAAAGCATGCAAAAGAGTCCGGTGCCCTGCAAAGTAAATGAGAAGGCGACAATCTGGCTCTGGGTGAGAGTGCCAGCGGCTTCTGTGCCAAACGTAGCGCAGAGCCCACCAGCCAGACATCCTTTGGCAAACCCTGCATAGCGAGCCAGAGTCTCTGGGTCATTTGTCAGTGCAGCGACAATCCACTGGACAACAACTTGATACTACTTCGATCAGTACGGTAGTCAGTCTGGCTGAGACGTTGGGAAGACGCTTACGATGACCATGTTGATACCAAGCAGCAGAGTCAACACGAGGAATCCCGCAAATTCGCCGCCTGTCCAATCCCAAAGTGGAGGCGCCGTGAGATCCAAGGGGTTTCTGTCGAGCCAAACAAGTAGACCAATCCAAGTTGCAATAGTAAGGACCCCCATGGACGTCGTTGAGATCAGGCCACGGGCTCTTCTCGAACCAATCTTAGAACTATCTAGCAACGGTGTGATCCCAATTGCACCTACTGCTTGCATTGCTACAAACATGACGGAATTTAAGCTACGAGTGCGGATATTGAAATATAGGGCTAGGTGCATTAGCTACCGTCGACTCTACCAGCCTCTAATTAGGATTGGAACTTACAATTTATCGTGGAAAATACGATGATGGCAATCTCGGAGCCGAACATAGGCAAAATCAGCACAACCATTCGCCAGTCCAAAAAGATTCGGGCCTGGGCCTTGATTCCTGCTTTCCAAGAGTGATGTGGGTTCTGCGCGATGGCAGTTCCATCATCTCTCCGAACACGTGCTGGATCAATGATGCCGAAAAACGCGACAAAGAATGCCATACACATGAGGATGATGAATACGATGTATACGGAGTCGGGGCACTTGACAGCGCCAGCATTGTAATTGATGCCAAAGGCCATCAAGGACGCGATGGTGCCTTCATTACAGGTCAGCCCCACAATGGGAGAAGCAAAACGTAGGATGGGACGACTTGCTCCCAAAACTGAGAAGACCCCATTGCATGGAGATGAACGACCCCTTCTTCTGCTCAGTCGCATAGGAGAATGCGATGAAGCCGGCTGCGGTCCACAGATGAACTGCAGTAATCCCTAGGAGGGTGCCAGCGAAGATGGGGTACCATATGTGGCCAGTATTGCTAACTGTGCCGCCTTAGCATCCATGCGGACCAGGCACGTCGCATTCAAATATCTTACAATACCACATAGCACCCGCGAAAACTGGGTAGCCTATGGAGCCAAAGAGAAGCGTGAACCTCGGACCAATTGCAGTGACTACGGAGCCACTGAACATGCCCGTCACGAAATACACAGCATACAGGACCGAATTGGTGATATTTGCCATTTGTGTCGCATTGGCTGGCCCGCCACCGGCGCCCAGGACAGTGAGGGCAACACTGTTTCCGCGGTTAGAGGACGGATAATGCTCGTATGCTTAACCGGACTAGATCAGCTACCTACTAGATGCCGGGAGTTAAGCAAACGATCACGGCTGCCAGAAAATTCTGCACGAAGGGACTGTATTAACAGATCAGCAAGAAGAGGAGACCCCACAGGGGATAGGCGGGGGTAACGTACCTGTCCAACCTCGGCATCTTCAGGGGGGCCATCCTGATAGATGTTTACGGAGTAAGGAAAAGAAGGATATGGAGGAGTCTGAAAGAAGAAGGGGGTGGTATGGGGGCGTCTGGCTTTTGGGTGAGACAAGGAAATAGATTGCGGTGGTCTCTGAGGTTTTCTGGTGGCGCGAGTGTTGCGGCGAAGATGCAGAATGGGCGTCGACGCGTCGACGCCGCCGGGAGGAGAAGGAATGATAAGCCAGACTCCTTGATGGAGTGATTAATAAATACGGCATCTCCCATCTCCACGCTCACCGCAACACGACTCAAAATCGCTGAACACCAACTCACGACATGACCGCCATGAGCTCCATGGGCCCCACTCCACCCGCCGCAGCCGCAGCCGCAGCCGCAGCCGCGAAGGTTGCCGCCGGCCGACACATTGTCGGCTATGCGGACCCGCTCGTCGTCTCGGCAGGCGACCGTGTCTGCGTGCAGGTGTCCTGCCAGCGGCCACGCTACACCAGCAGTCTTGTACGGCTCGGACCGTCCATGGAAGCGAAGGACGCTCCCCCACCCGACCATCAGGCCATCTCTAGCGTTCCCGAGACCACGTACCCTGGAAGGCCGCAATTCACTCGACTCGGGTCCTTTGCCTCGGTCCCATGGTTCGTGGGGGCCTATTCAACCCCAGCTAGCGACCTTGCCCTGGCCGTCTCCTTCTGGGCTCGGCCCGACCTCCCCGAACGCGCGGGCCATGACCAGTTCTTCTTCTCGACGCTCCAACGTGACGGTGGCGCTGGGTTTGCATCCTTCATTGACAGGGATGGAGCATTGACTCTCGCCGTTGGCAGCGAGCGCGGACGCCTTACCACCCAACTCCCAATCACACTCAAGCGGCACAGCTGGACCTTCCTTACCTTCACCTTCAATGCCCCCTCACGCACAGTTGCCGTCTCTGCGAGGAGCAAGGAAAGCCATGTCGACAGCGCTCATTCCCAGCATGCCTCTCACGTATTGACCCACCCTTTCGTCCTTTCATCTTCCCAATCTCTGACTATTGCGAGTCATTCGAGCCAGGACCGTGTGTCCGCGGTCCCTGTCGACTCGACCTCTTTCAACGGCAGGATCGATAGTTTCAGGATCGACCTCGTGGCTGCAGCAGACACGAGAACCGTCTTGCATCTGGATTTTTCCAAGGACATCCCCACGGATCACCTCAGGGACATCTCGGATAGCGCCTGCCACGGCTCCCTTTTCAACTGCCCCGCTCGGGCCGTGACGGGCCACGACTGGGATGCGTCGGAGACGGACTGGACTCGCGCTTCCTACGGGTACGGAGCGATTCACTTCCACGATGACGATGTGGATGATGCCGCCTGGGCGACCGACTTCGAGCTCGTGCTGCCCAAAGACCTCGCGTCTGGGTTCTATGGATTCGTCATCAACGACGGGGAATCCGAGGACATCGTTCCGTTCTTCATCAGGCCCGACTTGACCCAGCCCCCAACCAATAAGGTGGTCTTCATTGTCCCAACCTTCACATATACTGCCTACGCAAACGACCGAATGTACGACACCTCACGTGACGTGCATATCGACATCCCGGGATCCGATTCGGTGCATCGCGGTCGTCACCTCCGCATCTTGGAGGCCCGCCCTGACCTTGGAATCTCGCTCTACGACAGTCATAACGATGGCTCCGGGGCCACCCATTCAAGCACGAAGCGAGTCGTTCTTAATATGAGACCCGAGTGAGAAACCCCCCACTATGTCCCCACGGTCTGCACTGACGCCTTGAAAAACAGCTACTTTCACTGGGGATTCGGCGGCCCCCGCGAGTTGTCCGCTGACCTTTGGTTTATCGGGTTCCTCGATAGGGAGCTTGGCCCAGGTAATTACGACGTGATCACCGACCATGACATCTCGTGCTACGGTTCCTCTATACTGCTTCGCTATTCCATCGCCATCAGCGGCAGTCATCCAGAATACCCCACATACAAAATGCTGGATGCGTATGACGCCTTCCTCGCAGCTGGTGGCTTCTTCATGTATCTAGGCGGCAACGGATACTACTGGGTGACTGGGCACGACCATGAGCGGCCCCATCGAATCGAAGTTCGGCGGGCAGATCAGGGATGCAGAGTATTCGGTCTTCCTCCAGGTCACTGGTTCCTTGCGCTGACGGGCGAGCAAGGAGGACTATGGCGCAGCCGTGGACGAAATCCGAACCGCATCTGTGGACTAGGTAGCGATGCCTGTGGGATGGGCCAAGGTGCTCCTTATGGCATCGTGCCTGAGGCAAGACAGAATCCGAAGCTTGAGTTCCTGTTCAAGGGCCACGGCCTGGAGAAGAATGATATCATTGGGGACTTCGGCCTCGTGCAAGGCGCGGCATCTGGTGATGAGATTGACCGTCTAGATTATTCGCTTGGCACTCCGGAAAATGCAGTCATCATCGCGACGACGAAGCTTGCAGGTGGGCATTCGGACAACTATGCTTTGTTCAACGAAGAGATTCTTTTTCCCATGGTTAACACTTTGGGAACCACATCAGACAAGGTGAGAAGCGATCTCGTTTATTTCGAGACTGGAAGCGGAGGTGCCGTTTTCGGGGTTGGTAGCATCAACTGGGTAGGCAGCCTGGCCTGGAAAAATTACGAGAACAACGTAGCACAGATCACTGCAAATGTGCTCCATGAGTTTGTGAAGAGGTGCGCTAGCAAGTCTTAGAAGAATCCGGTGTAAAATTAGGCTACTTGTGTCGGTAGCCTTCTAGTCCATTAATCCAAAATGTTTTGTCAAGTAACTACGCAGTACTCACTAGCAAGGTTTTGTTCCATGGAAATTCATCCCATTTAGTCCCTTCGCAACTTCGACGCTAGACTGCATTTCTTCATCACCAGTCTCAACACCACAATTCGCTGGGACACACTCCAGCTTTCAGAGAGGAATCTTAAAATAGGTATTCAAGACTAGGGATAAATTTTTAAACTTTGTAAATACGTCACTGTTAAAATATTAAGGTACAAAATTTACTATTGTTGGTGAGTTTTGGGCCTGGCGGATGAGTGGTAACAGACGTTGTCCGACGGACGCTTACTCTATGCTTATATAGTTCCTCCATGGACGAGAAGCGGGATGCCAAGAGGTATTAGGAGCGGTTAGAGTGAATAGTAGCTAGTAACTTCGTCTCTTCACTACTGCCTTCACAAGGGTAGGCCGGAGCGGGTCGGTCATCCTCCCTGCTAGCGTCACCAAAGGTGTTCGTCTACTTCCGTTAGGTCCCCTTACAAAATTGCCTTCCGCTTAGGTCAAAGCCCGCGTCTATGACTTATTACGCCGCGCTTTAGACTGTGCAATCAGCCGCATATCGCCTGGGCGGAGCTTGTTCGAACTGCCTCCTCATAAACCTAGGGATATGCTAGGTATAGCAGAATCACTGCACCGCACTCCTTCTATATCACTTTCAGGTTTGATTCTTCGGTATTTTCTCGCAAATGCTGCCTCATATGTCCGAACCATGAATGCCGTAGCCCGAACCTGAAAAGCATCAACAGCCGACTGCCTGTGCCAGCCAATAACGGAGTGCTGTGTGTAGCGAGATGATATGCAGCAACGGCAGTAAACGGACGGACACCCCGCATGACACCCTCGAATTATGGCAGCTCAATCTCCTCTCTCCCAATCCATAAATTCCTCAGCTACTACAAAACCCCCGCTATGGAAGCTCTAATTTTTGTTCAGCCCACCCTCAAAGAACGGGTCCTTCCCCGAACCTTCATCATCGCTAAGACCAGCCACCGGTCGGTTGTATGACCACCCTATGAACTGCTGCTGCATGGTTTGAGAGAGCATCGGGCCGTCCACGTATGAATCGTTTGGGGCTTCTGAAGTAAACTCACGATCAAAGTTGACAGTATCTTTAGCGTCGGCCTATACAGACATTAGCAAGCTACTGTGGCTCCTCAGACTAGAACACGTACCACGTTGGGTTTGAAACTAGGCTCGTACTTCTCTAGCAGCTTCCGCCAGTCAATGCTGTTAAAGAAGGAGTGAGCCTTGATCTCAGAAGCACCCTTGGCGCCCATACGCTTCTCGGCATTTCGATCCAGTAGACGGGTTAGCAGGTCTCGAGCAGCTGGCGGCACAATATCCGGACCGGGTAAGTGTAGAGGCTCGGTGAGAATCTTGCGGTACATGTCGTTGGTGTTCTCGTCGTAGAATGGCGGCAGGCCAGTCAACATCTCGTACAACAGAACACCGAAAGTCCACCAGTCGACCGTCTTCGTATAACTAGCGCCAGTGAGTAGCTCAGGAGCGAGGTACTCTGGTGTTCCGCATAATGCTAAGTGCAAATCAGTAAAAGACTGTTCGAAGTAGGGAAAGGGTGCTTACTGTTAGTCCTGTCGTCATCTTTCATGTCCAACTTGCAGAGACCGGAGTCACACAGAGCGATATGCCCCGTGTAATCGAGCAGGATATTCTCTGGCTTCAGATCGCGGTAGATCACATTGAACCCATGCAAGCATTCTAGAGCACACAAAAGCTCCGCAGCGTAAACCGAGCGCGGTGAATATCGAAGCGCTGCTCTTTCTGAAGATGATGGAAAAGCTCACCACAGTTCACGAATGCCAAAACGAGGTACCGTTTTTCAGATGACTGAAACGAGAATTTAAGCGGCACGATAAAGGGATTGTCTACCTGAGCAAGGACGGAACGCTCTGCGAGAGTGTGTGCCACTTCGGAGCAAGAGATGATGCGAGCTTTGCGAAGGGTCTTGAGAGCATAGATACGGCGAGTATCCTTTTTCCTACGCAATCGTAAGCATACAAGTCGTTACGACGAGACGCAGCCAAATATACATGACTTGCATGACTTTGCCGAAACTTCCCCTGCGAACCACCTTGAGAAGTTCAAAATCGTCAATAGAGAGTCGGTCTTGGCGATTCTCCACAAAGTTGACGCCAATCTTCATGGATCTGGTGCCGAGCTGGATATCAACTTAGCGCCAATTTAGCCCTGAGAAATCTGCTCCTTGCTCTTTTTCGCCTTTAGATCCCCGGGATGTGCTTGTGACTCTTCGAATCTCGGATTGACTTTGCAGGTTCCAATGAAGATATCTTCGTTCCTACCGACGAAGGGAGGCGCTGAGGGGTTGCGGATGTAAAGCGACACACTGAGATCGGTGACACGGGAGACATCGAACTTGTACTGTGTGTTGGCCCCCGCCCACAATGGGTTCTCGGGTGTACCCGAGACAGCATTGATGAAAACCTGTAGCTTGTCGAAGTCCACAAGAGTGTACGGAAGGCACCTGGAGGAATAGCGTCCGTGGACTGTAGGGATCACATTAACGTTGTTAGCAGCCGAGTAGGGCCGGTTTGAAGAGTAAGAGCCTGCTGCTCGGTTCCGTGATAATGAATTCGGCCCCATAGACTCTGCTACCGAGAAGCCCCCGCCCGTTGAGGGCGGGTCGTGATGGTGCACTGTGTTGAAGGCCGCCCCAGTGCCGGCCGGGAGCGAAAAGCCTTTGCCCTCATGGAGGGTCACTATGAGAATGCCGGGTCGGAGAGGCGGAAGAGGAGGGGTAGTGTTCGCCTCAGAGGCCGCTTAGCAGTTCAGCATTTTTCTCCTATTTTGCTTCTGAGCCACACACCGACACCATTGGGGTCTTTGGAGTCTGCAAGGGTGGCGCTGCTCGCTGAACTTGAGGACTTTGGCGGCTGATTACCGTCTATCGTGGACGGCGACGACAAGCCGCTAAATGTATTGGCCAGCGGCGTAAGGCAGGTTTCCTTGAATTCTATATGTAGCGTTAGAGGTGACCAATAGAGGGCAAACAGAACATATGTACTCTGAGTGAGTTTCCAAGACATGGTTGCGGCGATCGAATGCAGTCAGCTGCAGAAGGGCCCTAGGAGTGGGTAGGTGGAGAGGGTAGTAGCTGCCGAGTGACCAGAGGGGAGCGGCAGGCCTGGCAGTACAGCAGAACAGTGTGGAGAGAAGTAGTGAGAACCTTCAGGAGTATAAGTGGCAAGGTGTGCTCTTATCACGCTATCGGCGACCTGAAGTCCTTCAATGTACCTCCTCTGGGAGAAGCTGGAGCGAGGGCCGAGACGAAACGAGGCTCATATATACTGTTCACCAGCAGCACGCCAATCTACAGCACTCCGATTTCCGGCGTTCCGACGCCGCGCAAGCGAACCGTCTATTTTGAGCTTTCGACGACGCTTGGTGGACGCGACAGCCCACATAACCTCTGATGCGGCTATCGCTACCTCCACACAGCCACACCAACCTGAAACTCAACCGCCATCAGCATCGCGCCTAGCACATCGTCGGAATTGCCCTCAGCGCATGGGTTTTCGCTGTAATTTGAATGTTGGATATAAGCCGCCCCACCTTCCGATATGCAGCTCCTGATAAAATCGCTAACAATCTCTTGTGCGAGAAGACATCTTATTTAATGTAATTTGTACTTAAAATGGATATATTATTGCGTTGTTGTGTTGTTTTATTGCACAGGCTTGGAATACTGATAGGTATCCGACTTTTTCGTTACCGCAAGAGCACCTTGTGCGCGTTTTGGCCTTCACCGCCACATTCACGGCTCCATTTCTCACCTCCGGCGCCAGGCGTGGCAATCGTCTTTCACCACTCCCACGCATAGAGGGGCACCATGGGTCTTATCAAGAAGAAGTCCGCGTCGCGAGGCAACGAGGACGACGTCACGTACGTAGGTATGTCTGCGATGTTTGCTTGTCGGACATCGTGCCGACAGAGCGCTTAGCAACCCCTTTACTACTACCCTCACCGCAGTTGTTGATACTGCCTTCTGCAGTGCCGAATACGCTGTGCCAACAGTTCCTACCATGAGTACGACCTCTGCATGCCCTGCTTTTCCGACGCCAAGTATACCCGTAAACATGACCCTCAGACCCACGCACATCAAGTAATTGAGCAGCACTCGATAGCAATATTTATCAATGATTGGTTACAAATGAGTTGGCGATCCTAGACGGTGCGGAACCATATGGGCTAGGATCATGGGCAGACATAGCAGACTGCATCGGCGGCCTCAGGTCCAAGGCCAAGGTCCAAGACTATTATGTCAAAATCTAGTCAACAGCTCCAGGTTTCCGCTTCCTAGGAACCCTAAGCTCTTAGCTATGTTAGCATAAACTAGCCTAGTATGTTTATAAAGTGTTATCTAAAGCTTAAAGTATAGTTAGTAAATATCTAGCCTATTATAAAGCCTATCTTATTAAAGTTGTACATGTTATTATTCTAGATGCTATACTTAGCTTTAATATTCTCTGTAAAGCTAAACTAGCTTTAAATTACTCTAGAATTCTTATAAAAAGCTTTTTTATATTTATACTTACACTTAAACTTTACTTTAAGCTTTAGATAACACTTTATAAACATACTAGGCTAGTGTATGCCAACATAGCCTAGATTATACTTGGCGTGCAAAGAATTAGCTATATTAGTTATAGTTACTAGCTAAGAGGAAAATCCTTGCGCATATAGCTTAGGTATGTGCTTAATAATTACCTACTTCTTGTTATTGTCTAGCTTTTATAAGTTAGCTATAGAAGTTATTAGAAACTCTATTAAGATTATAATCTTCTATGTAATTTTAGTAAAGGAAAAAAAGATTTAAGGAACGCTAAGAATTTTCCTGATTTTTGCGCATAATAGATCCACGTCAAGGCCTAATGCACGCTGAACACTAAACCACCTCAAACTTTAAGACTACCTAAGGCCACCAATATGGGATCTATTAAGGCTGCGCTTGCAGCTATAGAGTCGCTGGGTCCTGGGGAGTCTATCAACTATGCGAAAATTGCGAGAGAGTATGGAGTTGAGCGCTCTACACCATCAAGGAGACACCGAGCCATTACGCAGTCGCGAACAGTCAGTAGAATCAACCAGCGAAAACGGTAGTGGCACTGCTGCAAACCAAAAGGTTGGGTCAAGGGCACACCGGTGTACCACAACTGAAACTTCTGCCCAGTTGGGAATCCACAGTTCAACCCATATATTGAGTTATGCTTTTATGCTGACGCTCCCTACGAATCTCAAACCATCGAAAAATGCCCATTTTTCTCAGCCTGGAGCTGCGTTGCTGCTGCAACAGCCGAGAAGTTCCCACTCGCAATGGCATGTGGAACCACCTTGTACGGTGAAATGCAATCCCCAGCGGCAAACACGCCACGACAGCTAGTCTGATACGCTGGAGCATCAGCATCAATATCCCCAGTTGGCGACATCTTGAGCTCAAGTTGCTGTACGAACGGTCCCTGCGGAACCGTCAAAGGATTGTGCACCAGGAATGAGACCTCTGTGAAGCTTCCATCGCTGAACTCCACTTTGACATTCCCCTTCTCGCGGCAGTCGACTAGTCGAGCTATGGGCCGAGAGTCGATCTTGAAGGGGGAGTTCGGGGCCATGGACTTAAGTTGCCCGGCGACGTCCTGAGAGCCGTTGGTGAAGATGGTCACCTCCCTGGACAGCTGGGCGGTGTTGTCGGCCATATGGATGGCCAGCGCTGGCATCATGGCAAGGGCTTGAACGGCGAGAACACCGGAACTCTCTGCCTTTCTTTGTTCGTATCCAAGGCAGAAGAGGCAATGGAAACTAAGTCTGGGAGTTAGGCAACTCGATTAATATTTTTTTTCAATAGCACCTACATCTTCTTCTTCCATAGCTGACTGTAACCTTCGATCTCCGGCAGGACGTCGTTCGACCCGATGGCAAGAATGACTTTCTTCGACTCCCATGTCTTGCCGGACTGGTCGACAACATGAAAACAAGAGTCAGTTTTCTTCTCAACAGATGTGACTGCTACATCTGCGAACTGAATCGTTTCGTAATTGTCTTCGATCTGCTTTCGTGAAGTCTGGCGGTACTCCTTGGGATCTTTGTGGTCGAAGGCGAGGACCGTGTGCATATGTGAGCTTCCAGCGTTTCGATAGGTGCCGCTATCAAAAACCACGGCTGTATGCAGCTGGCGGGCGAGGGTTGCGGCAGCTGTGAGACCTGCGGGGCCGCCGCCAATGATAACTACATCGATCGAAGCCATTGTCGCCTTGGAAGAGAAAATCTGTATCAAGGAAAGGTGGGTTTACGGACTTTTGCTATCTCCCTTCTTGTAATCTCTCTTTATATGCCTATATGCTATCAGGACAACCGTGGAACGAAGAAACCGAAGTCAAGACTGGGTATACAAACGCACGTAAGAGACAAAACCATCGCCGGTGCTCACCACGAACCACAGGTCGCCTCAGCAGAGTGACTCTCGAGTACATTACGAGCGATCTATCTTATTCGGCCTTCATCTATTTGTTGGCGGCACGGCATTATTGGAAATCCACAACATGCTCTTGGCTTATCATCCTTCGAATGCAGAACAGGGTTCCCTTACCCTTGTCCCGCTAAGATTCCGCTGCCTTCTGGCCTTGCCGCAATATGTGCGGTGTGCCCCTCAACTTAGACTCGGTTGAATGTATGTGTACGGCGTCCTCAAACTCATATCAGAATTCACTAGGCGGGTTCGGTGCGGGCCTTCTATGGGTCGAGCCCAGCGTGCATGCAGCGGGCATGTAACCCGCAGTTCACAGCTTTGAGCTGCGGCCACGAAAACAGCTTTCATTTCAAGACTCCACTAGTATCTATATTCGTAGCGTAGGCGTCTGCTTCGAGCCAGGATTAGAGTGCTGAGGCTGTACAGTCCCATTGCATCTGCATAGAACTAATATTGCCGCGATTCAACTCAACACATCTTCCTACGCCGTACATGGTGCGTTATCAGGACACCACCTTCTATTGCCAAACCTGGTAATCTTGGAAGATTGGAAGCCCTTGAGAGAGCTAGTTAACCTTGACAGCCGCGAGTTGCATGAAGCAACCCTGTGTCGTCTCCCATTCTCAAACTTAAATTCAATCGAAGTCTTAGTATCCTTTAGCTATCATCCACAAAGCCAAAACGTCTTGCATGAGCTGAGAAGGGGGCATATGGTAAGCGAGTCAACAAGGTATTAAGATCTAAACAAAGCAGATTGTACAAGTGTATTGTAAGGTCTTATAAGCTTAAGAGAGCTCTAGGCTGACTATATACTGTACAAGAAAGAAGCTAGTCCTAATAAGTAAATAGTGCAGTACATGGGTATAGTATCGCGTGAGACGCGTGCGACGCGCCCCCCTAGCTTTAATAAAGTAAATACTAAAGTAAAGCTATACAAAAATAACTAATAGACTAGAGGTGTACAGTAGTGCACTTAAAAGTATAAAATAGTAAAAAGAAGTTAGTAAGCTTAAGCTTTAAAGCTAATATTAGTAAAGTAAGCCTTTAAAGTATTACTTAAGCAAATAAAACTTAGTTATATAATAAACACTTAATACTTTTATTAAAGTAAGAACTTAGTAAAGGTGTTAGCTAGCATGTCTATGTTACGGTCCACGAGTGGACTAGACGGGACCCTGGTAGTAACCCCCACTATCTGAACGAGCAAGCTTGGAATCCCTTTATGCTCAAATGAGAGGAGCCGGGGGACGCCACAGTACTAGCAAGCCCTGATCCTTTAGAGCGGGCTATGGATAAATGTGTTGGCTAATAGGAAAACCCCGCTAGGGATTGCAGTGCTTGCAACGCCTAGCAAGGCTAAGGCTACAATTACTACATAATAGATTGCAGTGATCACAACGCTTAGCAAAGCTAAGGCTATAATTACTACATAATACATTATAGTGCTTACAACGCTTAGTAAAGCTAAGGCTATAATTACTACATAATAGATTGTAGTGCTTGCAACGCTTAGCAAGGCTAAAGCTATAAGTACTATATAAATACAAATGTATATAAGACTATGTTGGTTTAACCTTTAAGAAGGTATAATTAATGTTTAGTTTATCTATATAGACTAAGTAGCATTTTAGTTTTTTAATAAACTGCAACACTAGCTATATATCTTACACTATATATACCTCTACTTCTGTTCTATAAACTGTTTAACTAAGCGCCTTATACTGCTGTTAAAGTCTAAACTATAATTTAGCTACTCTACTATCTCTATACCTAGACTATACTAAGGACTGTACAGCTAAGGCAGGTTCTCTATTCTCTCTCCTAATTAACCCTATAAGGCCTGCGTACTTGCAGCATCTAAAATGGACCCTACTAAGTAAGAATTATAACATGAATTACTACTTCTTTAATAAAGTATAAATCTTTAATAAACTACTACTAACACAGGGATAATTAGCGCTGCCCTTTTTAAGATAGGCTAGACCTTAACACTAAATAAAAAAGCTCTAACTAAGTAACTAAATAACATGTAAAACAAGCTGCGTAAACTTAGAGCAATAAAATAAAAAATAATTAATTTAAGGTAAATGCTATTATAGTTAGTGTAAACCTAAAGACTATAGACTATAAACTTATAGATCTAAGCCTTATAGCTAGAACTTACAAACCTCTTAAATTCTTTTTAAGAAAAAATAAGCATAGTAGCTAAAAAAACTTTAAGACTATTTTTACTTAAACTTTTTACTAAAAACTTAAAGGATCTTAGACCTTTCTTTATATAATACTATTTATATATGTAATATAACTAAGAAGTGTTCTAATTCTACAAGAAAATAATTTTATAGATAGAACTCTACTTTAATAAGCTACCTGCAGTCTAGTTCTAACTCTACACTAATAACTAGATAAATTTTAAGGTAAATAGCTACACACTTCTACCTAAGATAAAAAAAGTGTTTAGTAGTATAAACCTTTTTAAAGAAGCCCTTACTACAATCTATAGACTTATAAATAAAGAAAAAACAGCAGTAGATAAGATAGACACTCTATAACAAGAAAGAAAACTGTATAACATTATACTGCATAGTTCTACAAACAGCTAGCTATTTATAGATAGACAGACTAAAAAGCTCTCTATAAAATGTTTTATAAAAGACTTTATAAAATAATTAAAGACAAATTTATATATAATAAAAAACTAACTACTTTAGAAAAATTTAATAAATAAGCCGTAACTTATAACAAGTGCTATAAGAAACATGAGTAAGAAAAAAGACCTAGTAAAACACCTTAAAGGCCTAAGCTAGCACTTAAAAAAAACATCTTACTATAATAAGAAGCTAATAGATCTAAGCTACATAAAACATATATATAGTGCCTTCTAAAAGAAAAGCAGAGCTTCTAAAAAAAGTAATAGGCTACAACTAATAAAAAAGTAAAAAAGAATCTTTAGAATAAAGCCTACTTAGACTATAGCAAAGTAGGCTACTTTATTAAAAATGCCTAGACTTTAAAAAGGTAAAGAATAAAAATACTACTATAATAATAAAAGCTATTACTGTAGAACGCAGCCCTATAGAAAAAAAGATAAAAGAAAAGGTTAAATCTTTTTTTTACTAAAGATGTAAAGAAAAATATCCCTTTACTAACTACTTTATGCTATATTAGAAGGTAGAGTTCTAGGACTTCTACAGACTTAATTAGGCGTTACAGGAAGTAGCTATTTTTAAAAAAGATAAAACTAGTAGTTACCTAAGTCTAAGAATATAAAAGAAATGTTAAAAAAAGAGAAAAATAGTTCTTTTTTAACTATCTAACAGTAGAAATCTTTATAGAGGAACATACTAAACAATTCTAGCAGTGCTAATGCTAGAAGTGCAGAGAACACTATAACTACTAAAAACACTGCCTTACTGTAGACTATAAGGTACTTATAAAAAATAACTATAACACTTATAAAGCTATCTAATATATAGCTAAAGCACTTTATAACTTGCTAAAAAAAGAAAACTAGTAGAAGTTCTTTAAAGCTATAAAAGATTAATAAAAATAAAAAAAAACTTTAAAAAAATAGCCTTTAAATGTAAGAACGTGGCTCTGCACTACTCTGCTAATACAACTAAAAGGTACGAATAATCAACCAACAGTTGATTTTCAGGTGCAGAATAGTATATATACCTGTGGCACGTGAGCGCCATCTCGGCCTTACATTAAAGTCCTGATTTTTTATATTAAAAGACTTAAAACTTTGCTTTTATCTCTAGTAATTAGCTAAAAGGCACTAGGCTTTAGATAAAATAACAAGAAATGCATTAAATATAGAAGCATTTCTTATAATATAGAAACATGCTAGTAGAAAGAGCATTTAGTGCAAGTAGTCTGCACTAGAGAATACCTAAGGTGGACACAAGTTCAGCTAGTCCTAGTTTGCAGGGACATAGTAGAATGTCTATACCACTGCTTAAAACGCTACTGTATCTAACACTAGGGCACTAAGCACTGCGCAGGATAGTAGCCTTTCTAGAAAAAAAACATAATAAACTAATAATAGAATAAATTTATGTCTACTTATAAAAAACTAAACTACAGGCACTGTTATAAACTGCCTATACATAAGATATTACCCTAGCTAGACTATAAGTAACGCAACTAATATGCATTCTACTACTTTTAATAGAGGGCTAGCTAACTAGACAACTAGATGCCCTACTACTACCTAATTAATAATAAAGACTGCATTATAATAAATTATAAAATTAATAAACAAGCAGATTTATAAAATAATCTACTAGAGGTTAACTTAGACTAAACCTTAGCATATAAAAAAATATTTTATAATGCATAGGCCTTAGTAGTAGTTAGATAAGAAATAGAGTAAAGCCTTACTATAACCTTTACTTTTTAAGGAAAGTAGAGCCTTGCTCTAGTAGACAGTAGCTACTTTTTTACAGTAATTAACACAACTTAAGCAGAAAAACAAAACATTTAATATTAAGCTAAGAAGTTCTTTTTTAAGGTAATATTAGCTAATACTTTATTAATAGAATATAAAAACAGATAGATTAACCTAGAAACTACTAAAAAAACTTTAAAAACTTTAAACATGTTAGATTAAAAATCTCTAAGTCTCCTTTTTTTTAAAGATAAATACTAAGCTATACTAGACTATAACTAGTTGTAAAGACACAACCTTTTAATTAACTAAAAAGAAATAACACTAGAAACACTAGATAACTATGTAAAAATAACATAGTTAGCATGCTATAAAAACTTTTACTTAATCTACCTCTAGGTAAAACAAGAAAGCAGCTACTTTCTAAAAAGATAAAAACTATAAAAGTTCTCTTACTAGAAACTAGAAGCTTAAGCTATGTAAATTATAAAAAAAACTTAAAAAGTTATGTTTAAAGAATTATCAAAGAATTAAGACATTAAATAAGCTAGAATGTACTAAATTATAGAAAAATAGTCTATTTCTTTAGAATAGTAAGAATACTTAGACATGTTTAAAACTCTAAAAGACCTAGAAAAGCTACCTTCTTACAACCTCTAAGATTATGTAATAAACTTAGTAAATAACTTAAAGCTTTAAACTTATAAGCTTTAACTGCTAACTAAAGTCTAAAAAGAAGTACTCTAGAAGTATATAGACTAAATGCTAGCTAGAGGACACATCTAAAAAAGCAATAGCTCTATAGCATTAGCTATAGTATTTATAAAAAAGAAAGAAGAAAAAAATTTAAGTCTACTAAGACTATTAAACTCTTAATAAGAACACTGTCTAGAATTAGTTCCCCTTTTTAATTATCTAGAACAATATAAACTAACTGAAAGGGACTAAGCACTTTACTAAGTTTAATGTGTAAGACAGCTTTAATAAAATCTAAATTTAAAAAAATAATAAATAGATAACTACTTTTAGAACACTATAAGGCCTTTATAAACTTCTAGTAATGCTATTTAGCTTAACTAACACACTAGCAACCTTCTAAAGAGTTATTAACATTGCACCTAACCTATACTTTAACATCTTTATTTTAGTTTACCTAGACAACATCCTAATCTTTACTAAAAACACCTAAGAAGACTATATTCTAAACGTAAAACAAGTACTAGATAAGTTATAAGAATATAGCCTTTATTTATAGCTTTTAAAATGCAAGTTTAATGTATAAAAAATAAAATACCTTAGATTTATAATTAATAAAAAAAAAGTTAAGATTAACCTAGCTAAGGTCTAAAAAGTCTTAGACTAGCTAGAACTAACAACTGTAAAAGAAGTAAGAGAATTCCTAGAACTAACTAGGTATATAAGGCAGATAGTAAGAAATTATTTTAAAATTACACTTCTTTTAACAAACACTACTATAAAGGAATAAGTAATAACTAAGTTTATCTAGACCTTAGAAATAGTAACTGCGTTTTAAACCCTTAAGCGTGTTATAAGCAAAAAACGAGTTCTAGAACTATATAACCTAGAACTAGAAACTAAAGTAAACACTAATGCTTTTCTTTATAAAGAAGAAGCAGCGCTCTACTAGAAACAGGAGAATAGGCAATAGCACCCTATAGCATACTACTCTGCTAAATTCTCCCTTGCGAAAGCAGACTATAGCATACCTAATAAAGAATTAAAAGCTATAGTTAACACTCTAAGAACCTAGAAAATAGAACTTTAAAAATAAAAAAGCGCTTTAAAGTCTTTACTAATTACACTAACCTAGTTACATTCCT